CAGTTGCTTCTATTCCAGGAAACCTAAATGAAAAATATTCTAATTTATTAAGGTACATGTTGACAGCAGCAAGAATAAATCTAGCACATGATTGGAAAAGAGTTACTTTGCCTACGATATCACACTGGGAAATTAAAATTGGAGAATATGTTTCAATGGCAAAATTGACAGTACATGTCCACAATACAAGTTTAACCAAATTCAATTAAATAGAAACTAACAATTACTAATGTTTGATGCGAAGTTTAGAAATATTTAAACTGGCTAGCGGTTGGGGATACGAATGGAAGGGAACCCCCAGAAAGTAATTTTTTTTTTTACTTTTTTTTTCAACCTAAATGTAGTGTATTTTGCTTTGCCTCGCTTTTTTCGACTTCCTCTGTTTTTCAATATTTTAACAATATGCATTATTAACAAAAATAATCCTTCATCCCTATGCTGCTTTAATCGTGGCCTGTAATCATGCGTGTTGGGGAATACACGTTTGAGTCGAAAGGCTTAGATTAACGTCCGACTTCGTGCCGCTCTCAACTCCCGAGAACGGGAGGAGATGTAACCATCAGCAAAACCAGATCCCCAATTTGCTCCTCCCTTCTACCTTTCATGCAAAAACCCAGAAATTAAAAACTCCCTATCTCCCTCCAACCCCAGTGCCCCGCAAAGCCACAGAGGCAGCGAGATTTTGAGCAGGACGATTCTGTCTCCTGCGGTAAAGAAAAAGAATTTCCATTTAATCTCCCCAACTTGCTCTAAGTTCAAAAATGTCCCCCCTCCATCCGTATCCTCCAAAGGATGTTTTAATTACAGAGGTCTAGATTACCCGAGTCATGAAAAGTTCCTATAGCAACCACTCCTACGTATCAGCGATCGAGTCTCAGAAAGGTATCTTTCCTGTTTCCTCTCCAGCCGACAGAAGGGCTGTCCTCCGTTTACCCCGTCTGCCTGCAGCTAGAAAGGGTCTACAGCACGGATAGAAATCACCCCTTCTGCTCCTTTATGCTGGAGGCAAGCAATCTGGGGTGTCCAAATGTTTTAAAGGACAATTTATTGGTGTGGGTCATGGCGGTTCGTGGGAAAAGAACGGGTTGGAGCGTTGACCCTGGGGACGGACCTCTTTGTCCAGGACTTCAAGTGGGTTTCATCTCTGGAATCAGGTAGCAAATTCCAGAACTAAATATGAGTTGGACAAGGAATGGTGTGTCAGCCCAGATCTCCTGCCGGTTTCATCCGGAGAGGGAGAAGTTTTGTCTCATCATCCCTCTTAGCCATGCTTCCTTTTAAATCTGCTGACAGCACATGCGAGGTCCATGAGTTGGTTTAATCAGATGCTCTGTTCTGTATCATGCTCACCGCAAGAGGGTCAACCCTGCTTGAGCAGGGCCCATTGTGTGAATGCAGCCCTGTTTTCCTAAATGGAAAAGTCCTGTTTCCTATATGCTGGCTCTCCTTTAGCTCTTCGCTAATCTTTCTGAGAGAGTGACCAGCTGTAATGGTGTGTGGGAAAGACCTTGGGAGACGGGGCCAAGAGACGCTGCCAAGGGAACGGTCAGATAAGAGATGGCTTAGCCCGCGGCTGGATAGTGGGTGAGACAAGAGGGTCAGAAGGGACCCTCAGTAGTTTCTTGGGCTGTAAAGGAGATGGAGGGGAGAGTAAATCTGCCTGAGAAACTAGGGAGTCCCTTCTGAGCCTCTTGATCTACCCACTATCCAGCCATGGGCTAAGCCACCTCTTATCTGACTGTTCTCTTGGGAGCGTCTCTTGGCCCAGTCTCCCAAGGTCTTTCCCACACACCATTATGCCAGCCTAGCACGTACAATTAACCCTAGATGGGTAATCTCTAATTCAGATCACCTATAAACCAAGGAAATGCCATTTCCACATCCTTTGCTCAGGTTAGGGAATGACTAAAACTGAGCCTGTCTGAAACTGTTCCAGGCCCTTCCCTTGCTCAGGGTGAAATTTAGGGCAAGGTTCTCACCCTGTGGCTCTAACAGCTTTTTCTACACTTCTGTCTCAAACCTTGTGACTACTGCTAGCTTGTAAAAATAGAAACCAAAACACGGCGGGGTTGGCTGTTACGTCCGCTGTCATGGGTTGGGCTGGCTCCTCCTGGTTGTCAGGAATACCTGGAGCTCTGCTGATATGAAAATAGGGTTGATGAAGAGGGGCCTGGATTGAAATGAGATGTGCAAGGAAGAACATCAGATGTTCCAGGCAGTTAACTCCACAAAGTCCTACCACAGAATCGTAGGATCATTGAACGGAAAGGAGGGAAGGGACCTTGAAAATCCTCTAGTCCAGTGTTTCTCATGCTGGCTGGGGAACTCTGGGAGTTGAAGTCCACACATCTTAAAGTTGCCAAGGTTGAGAAACACTGCTCATGCTGACTGGGGAACTCTGGGAGTTGAAGTCCACACATCTTAAAGTTGCCAAGGTTGAGAAACACTGCTCATGCTGACTGGGGAACTCTGGGAGTTGAAGTCCACACATCTTAAAGTTGCCAAGGTTGAGAAACACTGCTCATGCTGACTGGGGAACTCTGGGAGTTGAAGTCCACACATCTTAAAGTTGCCAAGGTTGAGAAACACTGCTCTAGTCCAACCACCTGGCCAGTGGAGGAATCCATTTCTACACCATCCTTGTTTGAGCACCTCCAGAGGAGAATCTAACCATACAATCATAACATCAGATCAGCGAGTCGTAGAGTTGGAAGGTCCCCCAAGGATCACCTCATCCAACCCTCTGAATGATCTCCAAATGACAGTTGGGCCACAATATCCAACAGGCTCTTGTCTGTTTTATGTTACAATCAACAACAGCAAGAAGAACTCCCATCTCAATAAAAACATCATCATTAGAACAAATATGGACAGGGGAAATATCCCTCCTGTTCTGGATCCCCAAGATTGGTGGACTGAGCTGATAAGCAAATGGAGCCAGAAGAAAATTGGGTCAGGAGGAACTGGTACAGCTACTCTGGAAAAGGCCTGATTCTCTGCATTGATCAGCCTATCAATGTTGGCCCCCAATTCTCACTAAAGAATTCATTTGCCCTCAAGATTACTCCAAGCTCTGATTATACCTGATCCCAGCTAGCTTAATTCAGCATCCACAGGCAAAACAGGCCCTGATATTTTTATAAACTCTGGCACGTTTGTGATCTATGCAGTGGAAAGCTTGGTTGCCCAAGGGGTCTATGCTCCAAGACTAAGAAAGCCATCAACAATCATCTGAGATGAAGGAAAAGGGAGATGAGTATTTTGGAAGTGGAGACCAGATGTTGAACACCTGAGAAGAGTCACTGGGGCCTTGGGTTTGGATAGAAGAGCATGGCACTTCGCAGAATCCCATAAGAATCCAACAGGAGAGGTTCTCCTGGACTTACCTCCATGTACAAATCCATGCATGGTGCAATCGGATGGTCCCACCAGATGGATCAGACTTGACTGGCTGTATCCAACAGTGTAGGGCTCTGTAAAGGGAAAAAGAACCTAGCTGTGAAAGAGCATATGAGGCTAGAACCCAAGGGCTCAACCCTACAATTTGGACTCTGCACACACAAAGGGTTCCCAGAAGTGTAAGAACGCAGGGAGAACAGGGCTGAGTCAGCTCAAGGCTCGTTTCACCAGAGGAAAGACGGCTGTCAGGAGTGGTCCTCAACCTACTTTCATCCCCCTTTGGCGATGGAAGTTCAGACTCCTGCTAAATGCTCTCTCTCTCTTCCCTGTTGCCTTAGGGAGGAAGAAGAAATGGGATGAAGAAGAGGAAAAAAGGGGCACTAAGGACAGAGGAGGTCTCCACACACCAACTTCTGAATCCAGCCTTTCCCCATCAGCTGCATCAACCATGAGGCCCACAAAGGTCGCCTCGCCCAACTGGACCCAGTATCCTGTTTCTAGCAGCATGGAGGTGTCTGGGAAAGCCACAGGGGTGGGGGAGTAGGGGGGAATCAAGGATTAAAACTAGCCATAAAATAAGAGTGAGAAAGGATTTCTCACCATGATTACCGAAAGCTGACCATTCACTGTTTGGAGAGGGAAAATCCATGAGAACTGTAGTGTAATGTGAAGTCCTTGGGGTGCTCTGAGCTTGGTTGTTTTCTTGCAAATGTTTCGTTACCTGGCTAGGTAACATCTTCAGTGCTAGAAGGGAGTGGGGTTTGCTCCCTTTTTAATGGCGGTGGCTTGCCCTGCCGGTTTGTATGGGGGGGGGGGGTTAATGTGATGTGGCCACACCCACTTTGCCCCCCTGTCGCTTTCAAACCAGGTTGGGTTCTTAGATTGGTCTTTCTCAACCTTGGCAACTGGAAGACGTGTGGACCTCAACTCCCAGAATTCCCCAGCCAGCCATTTCTAGGAGTTGAGGTCCACATGTCTTCCAATTGCCAAGGTTGAGAAACACTGTCCTAGATCCTTTCGCCTCCAAATGTTAACAAGGATATATTGATATTCTACCTGGAGAAAGGCTTACAGGAGATTGTTCAAAGTTCGCTGAAAGGACAAAACAGGCCCAGGCCTCTTAATTTAGAGAAATTAAATAGAACACTGATTAACCCAGTTATGCAAATGTGGGGAACGGAGGCGAAACAAACCTCTTTCATTCCTAAGATATTTAAGATATTTTGTTCTTAAGATGCATCCTTCCTCCTTCAGCCGGAGCGCCAAACCAACTAAGCCGCTCCCCTGGTGTTAAGCCCGACACAGAACTGTCAGCTCTTACAAGCCAGCATCCAGAGACCTTCCTTAAACCGAGTTAAGCCATCAGAACAGCCTTACCTTTACTTTGCCTGTCTGGGAAGCCATGAAAAGAAAAGAGAGACAGACGGATAAGCCCACGTGCATTTATTGCAGAAATAATCAGGTGCTACAGGAGAGGAAGACCGGGGAGGATACATGGTTTAAATCCCATTTTCCACCAACTGCCTTTGTGTTCTTGTTCCTGGGCAGACTGGCCCTGGCCGCCCTGGGGTGCTTAAGGCTTTGCCTAGGGATGAGGCTGCAGAGCAGGGTCACCCAAGAAACATTCCAAGGTCACAAACTTCATTTTCAAAAAAGGAACGTACCCCCACCAAGTCAGCAAGCAAGACGTCGCCAGGAAACGTGGCTTCATAACAAGCCAAAATGCACCTCTATTTTGGCCTGCAGCCTGCGCAGGACAAGCAGCAGTGGGGGGGGGGGGTTGTCTCTGCTTCTCTCTCCCCCTGCCCCAGAGAACGGCAAACCCCGTCTAAAAGTGGGGATATCGGTCCGAAACGTTTGATTAAAATGGCCCGCCTTTGGAAACACCGGAACGGACCAAGGAACTAATAGTACGATGTTAGTGACGGGAGCTGGTTTAGTGACAGGAGTCAGTTTAGTGATGGGAGTCAGTTTAGCGATGGGAGTCAATTTAGTGATGGGAGTTAATTTCGTATTGGTGTGAATTGGAAGAAGCCACTGATGTTCTCTCTTCTGTATTGGTCAGGCTGGGGCTGGAATATTTATTTATTTATATATTTATTTGTTTAATTAATTAAATTTACATGCCGCCCATCTCCCCCAGAGGGTGACTCTGGGCGGCTCACGATTAAAATCAAACATTAAAAACAGTAAAAAATGTAATATCCGCATTAAATCAGCTAAAAAATATACTATATAAAAAGATGATATACAATATCGTGTCCGGAGGAAATCCACCAGGATGCTAAGGGGTCGAAAGGAAAGAAACCCCGAGGGATTAGCGGCCTTGGGTGCGCTTGGCCCGGAGAAGAGAAAACTGCAAGGAAATGCAATAGTTACCTTCAAAAGTCTGAAAGGCTGTCCTAGAGAAGATGGGGGAAAATTGTTTGAAAATAGCTGTATTCCCAAAGACAGGATGTGAAACCACGGGTTTAAAAAACGTGGAAACATGTAAGGGGGTGTCCTTAACTGGAGATGTTCAGAGGTTGGGGGATTCCTCTGTACGGGAAGCTGTCGTGAAGGATCCCTGAACTGCACAAGAGGTTGGACTAAATGACCTCTAAGTTCCCTTCTCTTACATGATTCTTTGCGTTAATTTGGATTTCTACACCGGGTAGGAGGCTGGAGGAGTCCCCAAGATCCCTTCCAGCTCTTGCATTCAATGATTCTATGATAAAGAACTGGATAATGAGACGTTACTACAACATGTTCATTTTTTTTTTCTGATGAAATAATTGCTTACATAAATGTTGACCAGGATAACGTCACATTCAAGATAACGATACTCCTGTTAGGGTCCAGGTTTATTGGACATACCACATTACATTTCAACATATGGAAGATTTCTCCCTGGGCTCTGAAAATTCAGAGAACTGGATAACCGATGCTGTATTTCTGTAGAATATAATATTAGCTCTTTCCACGGGCTTCGTTCAACCAGCTAGGCTCAAATGGAGTTGGGTAGTTTTGCGGCCCAACATGTGCATGAGTGCATGTTGCATCCTTCCAGATGTTGCAGGCAGAGAAATCCCACCACGCTTGCAAGACCAGCAACTTGTGGGGGCCCGAATTGCTCCACCCTACTCCTTCAAACGATGCATCCCAAGGGAGTGTGGCATTTAGAGTTGACGGTGCAAAGTGTTTCCCTTATCCAACTACTCTCAGATTTGTTCTCCTTCTGCTTTGCAACAGTGCTTTGCAACTTGGGAGCGGCCCAAACAACAGGAGGTGAGGCCGGCTCTTTGGCCCTGGTTGGGGGACCCGTTCAAACCATGGGCATAAAACTGTCAGTTCGACACCGAGCAGGAACAAGAGGAGAGGGTCTTAGAAAAGGAGAATGAAAGGAAAATAGAGGCGCAGGAGGGCCTTGCAAGCGACAACGGATCGTGCGTTTCTCACCAAGGTGGGATCATATCTCTCTGGACCCAGGTGAACAGAGGAGCGAATCAGGGAAGTAAGGAGAAGAACAGAACTTCAAAAACAAAAGGCAACTGGCTCGAAACCCCAGTTTCAATGTCCAACTGCTCCCTTGAAAAAGACTTTAATTTGCTGGAGTCTGAAAAAACAGACTTCCAGCAGGAAAGATCAGAAGCAGCATGTTGGGACAAGCCGTTTCCCTTATGGGCTTGGACTAAAGCATTCGACCCTAGGCGCTCGTTCCAAACGACTGTCGACTTACGCGTGTTTAATTGCTGCAACGGACAAGGTGGCCCCGGAAGAAGAACAAACATTCTTCCCTATATTTCTATACCCAAATTAGTCTTGAAACACTGTTCTTTCTCTGAAAGTCAGTTCTTGAAATTCAGTTTTTTAAAAAAACATTCTTTCCTATATTTCTATGCCTGAATCAGTCTTGAAACGCCGTTCTCCTGCCCAAGCATTTCTGGCTAGATGAGAGGACTCGAAACAGACCCTAAAGCACAATCAAAATAGATCTTTCCTGCATACTCCTTTTGGATTTCCAAGAGCAAACTCAGTCTGGCTTGACATTAGCAAAGTCACTTTAACATGCATGTACCCCTTTATAACGTTTGAAGGGCAGGGCAGGTGGCCTTCTCTCCCTAAAAACAGTGGCAATTTACAGACACAGTAAGTAAGGGCCACTCTGATGGAAAATCCTGCTGGACCGCATCCTGAATCTGATGCCAACTGAAAGCTGTACCCCTGAACCCAGGAGCTTCCTTTGAAAAATCTCCTGGCCCCAAAAGGAGCTGGTTTCGAGGCTGAGTCACCCCGCAACCGTAGCATCAATTCCATGCGCTTCTCTAGGCTCTGAAAAATACCTAAAATTAAGCTGGAGGAAGATAAAAATAGCGCACAGACACCTCAGCTCACATGCTCGCCAGGCAGCGTTCTCCATTTTAAAAGATGTAGCCACGCAGTGCCAGCCTTTTGTTTTCTACCCAAGACATCTGCTGCCCTACCTAAGATTTCCAGCCCCCTGAAATTTGGGGGGTCAGTTTTTTGAAACCAGAAACCTTCTGCAGAGGGATCTGGAGCTAAAGGACCCCCATCCGCTGCCCAGAAAGCCAGTGTAGGAGATCTAGGGTGGTATACTAGTTAAAGATGCTGGGAAGACGCTGGCCAAGTCCCCCTCGATCACGGAGCTCAGGGGGGACGGTGCTCCGGGGGTTCTCTCTCTCTTACCCCCCACCTCTCACCAAGGGGTTGCTATGGAAATGGAACAAGGGGAGCCCCCCAAAAACACATGATGGAAATGCAAGAAATCTGTAAGTCCGCCTACAGGTCTCTCCATGCCAGGCAGGTGCCCGCCATACCTGGATTGATCACGGGCAGAATGACATCACCGTTCCGCTCCTTGGTTTCCTGACGCTCCAGCTTCTGCTGCTCGTAGCGTCGCCTCCCTTCTTCCTCTTGTTCCTTCCTCGCAAACTAATAGAAAACACAAAGGCAGTTTGTTCACCCCAAGCCGAGAGAGGTGGGCTGGGGCACCGCCGTACAGTTACCGAGTGTTCGCCCTCCTTTAAGGAAGGCCTGAGGGGGGATTCCCGTGAGGGAGAGCCCGGGAAACAGAGGTGGGTTTTGCAGAACGTATCGGAGCAGAGGAAGAACCCCTAAGAAGGTTCCAAACGCAGGCTGATGAGGGAATGGCTCCCTTGAGGGCCACACGAGGTTTCGGGACTCTCCAGAGCACCAGTCGAGAGGGCCACCCAAACTCCTGACTTTTGGAGGCCCTTGTCACCTCCGCTAGCACCATGCTCCGTCTGGCATCCACCGGAAGCAAAAGAGAAGCGAGTTTCTTGCCAAGCCATGTTGCGGCTTGGCAGCATCGCTGTGATTTCTAAGCATCCCTCCAGTGTCATCTGGGCCATAAAAATAGAGAGCTGGAAGTTGGCCCCCCTGCTCAGATCCAAACCAAAGAGACAGGGAAAAAGCCTCTGTTGCGGTGAGTCTCAACCTTGGCCACTTTCAGAGGTGTGGACTTCAATTCCCAGAATTCCCCAGCCAGCAATCAAAAGCACCTCCTCCTTAGAAGGCCGCCCACGAAGCAGAAGAAATGTTTAATGCAAGGGACGGTTGGTCGATCGATTTAAAAATCAAATACCTTTGGAATTTTGCCTTCTATAAATACTCTGTGACTGAGTCTATATTAAAGTCTAAGTCTTCACTGTAATATGTCATTAATAAACACGTAGCCATTTATGTTTAAACATTTTCATTGCCTATGTACATCCAGCTGGAACCATAATTTCCATAGAAATACCACTTCGCATCGTGCAAATTTGAATAATGGGGTTCCTTATCCCCAGGAAACAAGACCTAGCTATAAATCCTGAGTTTGGAAATGGCTGAGCAAATGTGGTTTTTAATTCCATTTTGTGCCCTGTGCTGGGAACGCAGCTACAATCAGGGAAGAACGCCCGTAAATGAATAGCCCAGAACTGAATCGGGAAGCCCCCAACAGCGATCAAAAGAGCAAAGCAAGGCTTACAAAATTAAGAAGCCCGTTTTTTCAGCTTATAAAGGGGCACCAGACGTTTTCTTCCTGCGAGTCTCACCTGAATGGGAGGCACTTCCAGAACCTTGTGCACGTTGTGAAGAGAAAGCGGGACATACCACAAAGTGGCCTTGTTGGTCACTCTCTTAGCACCTAAGGAGAAGAGAACGGTCTGTAAACAAGCAGATCACAGGAAAAGAGTCATGGGGGACTCAATTCTTGGTGGGAACCTTTTGGCTCTGCTTTAAGAAATGAGTGTTTTAATTCCAGGAGGCTTAATTTGATCAATCTGAAGATTAGTGACAATCCCTTAGTGGAGAGACGGACCATCTATGGATCTCCAGATGTTGTTGGACTCCATCACCCAACAACCCCACTGTTGACGGGGCTGACAGTGAGGAATTCTGGGAAGTGCAGTTCAGAAACATCTTGACTCTGATTTAGGAGATGCGCTTTCAACAGCTCAGGGATTGTAAGCAAGGCAGAGCAAGCTAGCCACAGAATCACTCCCAGGGCCACATGCCTCCCATAAATGGTTGGCAGGTGCTCTCAGAGACAAGGAATGGCTTTCTGAACATGCACTGCCTCTACTTCACCAAAGTATGGATTGCTAGGTTCACAAATTAAATTAAATTAAATTAAATTAAATTAAATTAAATTAAATTCAGTTCAGTTCAGTTCAGTTCAGTTCAGTTCAGTTCAGTTCAGTTCAGTTCAGTTCAGTTCAGTTCAGTTTAAGTCAACCCAACCCAACCCAACCCAACCCAA